TCATCCATCCATTCATTATGTACCACTCATCATCCATCCATTCATTATGTACACCACTCATCCATCCATTCATTATATACACCACTCATCCATCCTTGCATTATATACACCACTCATCCATTCATCCACTATAAACCACTCATCCATCCATCCATCCATTATGTACACCACTCATCCATCCATCCAGTATGTACCACTCATCCATCCATTCATTACATACCACTCATCCATCTATTGTATTCACCACTCAATTATCCATTGATCTATACCACTCATCCATTATTTATACTTCTCATCTATCCATCCAGTCATTATATATACCACTCATCCATCCATCCATCCATCCATCCATTATATACCAATCACCCATCTATACCACTCATCAACCCATCCATCTGAAAAGTCACATTTTTTAATAAATCTGATTCAGGCAATTATTTGCAGGCACTTCAGAATATTTCTGTGTTTGTCATTATCTCAGTATTTTGAACATGTTCTTTCTCGTGGTCGAGCTCCACATTTTAAAAACAGCCCAGTGTCACTTCTCAGTGACTGAACCTTCAGTCATGGAGACGAGGCCCACCGAGCTGTTTTTAGTGTATGCTCCTAATCTGAGAGCACCCACCTCTGTTTGCAGAGGGGCTGAAGTGCAAGAGATTACTTCTACGCAGTGAGCTCCATGTTTTGTATGCAGTGGTTCAGGTCGGCGAAGCGTGAGGAGAGCAGGAGTTGACCTTACCGACCACCCGTGAGTGATGATGATGAGGGGATTACTGCTGTTGAAGCCACAGGAGGTGAGAGTGTGCAGCTGCAGAGGGTCCAGTGTGCAGGTGTCCTCACCTTCTAAAAACAGCCCGAAGAACGAGCTGCTGACAAAAGGCTCCATCACCTTCAGGACTGTGCTCCGCTCCGAGTCCACTGCAAGCACAGAAGTTATCTGGGTACTCTTCAGGGGTCTGAAGTCAGTATCAAATTGTCTCTTTTTTTTAATCATACATCTTAGATTGTTTTACAGATGAGTCGTTTTATTCTATGTTATTTATCTATTCAATAATTAATTGACTTATTAACTGCCTCTGAATCATTTTCACTAAAATTCCTCACTTTTTAACTCTGGTTTTACTTATTCGTCTTTTAGTTGTTTTATCTTTATCCTTTTCACATCTCTTT